GCAAGCTTCAGACAGTCTTAAGATTTCAGATCAATCCTCTATTCATACTTCAATTGTCTACTTCTGTCTGTCTTTAACCTCTTCATATCTTCTATTTATATTGATTGCACATGAATTTACCAGAAAAACCAAGAAAACTGAAAAAGGACCTTCAATCCTGTATTTTCACATGGTAACCGTAATAATGCTAAAATTATATAACATGTTAAATACATTACATAACAAAATTACTGCTTGCTATTAACCTACAAGTTTTCTCACATTCAGTAGCCCAAATTAGTCACTAGACTTTTTTAAGGATTAATCATTACATTCAAAAGCCCTAATTGGTAATTTGAATTTTTTTCTTTTTAGGATTAGTCATTAGATTGATAAGCACTCATTAGTCATTAATCTTCAGCGAACAGTAGTAACTACTAAAATGGCTACTGGTTAGATAACATCAACACTTGCAACATTGTTCAAAAGATCCATTACAATAGTGCATTTCATACAATGTCCCATTGATCTTTAGTAAAGATGTTAAGTAAATTAAGCACACCTTTGGATGATATAAAAAGCGGCCCACTCTTGAAAACCTGCACGGAAGTTTATTCTTTAATGGGCAGATTTCACAACTTCTATAGATGCATAAAGCTTAAAAACAACAAGACACCAAGAAATATTACAAGCAAAGTCACTCCATGATCTGATAAATAGAAAAAAACAAACAACAATTCCATGAAAATGGCAAACAAAACCAGTTAACAGTTATAAGTTCGATTCAACCAATTTGAAAAAATAATATATTATTGCATAATGCAAATCCTACATAATTCGGCCAGTAAATTTTTAGCAATTCGGCAGGCATGGGTACGCTTAGTAGAGTCAGAAAAAGCTTTTGCTAATCTAATTATCCATGATAATAGCGAAACTGACGACAACAAGGACTTGTGATTACCAGATTTTAAATCAGTAACAAACAAGCATTCTCTATGATAAAAGCATAGAAGAATTACCGAGTTTCCACCACGAGAACGCGTGTGATCGGGCGGACCAGGTGCCTGACCGGCTGGAGGAGGAGGTGGACCGACAACTTCTCCCTGAAACACAACCACGTGAACAATTTTCATCAAACAATCCATCGAAAAACCACAATGTACGTACCTCCAAATAATAAATGCATCCGTCAACATTTTATCTCAAACAAAAAAAGAAATCGTTCCATATTGCAACTGATTTCGTACCTGAGACTGCAAGGGTTCTACGTTTTTGTTTGTCATCCTCAAAATCCAAAATCAAATCACATCACAATCGACAACCTCTGCACCATCCACCACACATTTTATCAAACTTTCAGAGAACATCAAATTCACTTTCTATACAAGAAAACAAATTCCAATTACATAAAATAAAAACGATCAACGAAGAAATTGAAGAATGAAGATTCTTCCGTACCTCGTAAGCAATTGTGAAGTAAAAATAAGAGAATAATACCAATATCATACACTTATAAAAACGGATCTAGAAATGAAACTTAAACAGACGAAGGAGAACGATGAAGAATCGCGAGGATGAACTAGAGAATGAGAGAATGAAACACAGAAAGAGAGAGAGAGAATGAAACACAGAAAGAGAGAGAGAGAGAGAGAGAGAGAGAGAGAGAGAGAGAGAGCTTCGTGTATTTTGGTTTCTGGTTTCCGTTTTCCTTTTTTTTTTTTGTGTGTTGCGGGAGTCTTTTCGCTCAACGGAAACCCGTTGGTCAAGCGAAAATTTATACCCAAATAGACGGGGCCTCCTATCTCGTGCGGGCAGCTGTACACGTCACCCGCTGTTCTCTCTCTCTCTCACTCTCTCTCGGGTTTTATGTTTGTGCTTGGAGGGAAAATCCGGAGAGTTAAAAAGAACGGGAGTGTCTGAAAATTAAAAGTTTCCCGTTGAATTTCTATTCTGTTAAAATGCTTTCTACGGGGTTAATTATAGGGGCTGGGTCTCCTGTGTCTCTATGTCAGACACGTGGTTGTGGTCACCGTCACTTGACGTCCTTTTTTGTTTTTGTCACGTTTAGGTTGATTCGTCGTGTGATAAACGCTGTCGTTTAAATAACCATGGGGGCCCGAGTGCCTTTGGTGATATTATGACTGTCCAAAACAATTTATTTTAAACATTTGATCGGCATTAGATAATTTGTATAGTAATTACTTTATATTATACGTTAGTTTATGAATTATTTTACATATATGAGGTTCTTTATTTTTTATTTATAAATAGTTTTGAACATTTATTTTAAAAATATCAAAATTTAGTATTTTATCTTAGATTTTAAGTTTTTCTTTTCTTTTATCAAATCTAATTACTAAAGTACTCTCACAATATTATATTAAGAATTAACAATATAGACATAGTATCTTCTTCATTATGGCTTATCACTCCTTAAATAGTCTTCTTTATGGATTTACTAATTTTTTTATATTTATTTTAAATATAATGTGATGAGTTTTATTATAAATGTACATTATATAAAAGACTAATTTTTAAAAAATTCGTTTGAATTCGTAGTAGTTTCTTAATTAAAATTTAAGTAGCTCAATTGTTATCTCTAAACATGTTTAAAAAATTAAAAAATACAAAATTTTATAAATTATGAAGATCAATATTTACATGGTGAAAAATATCAATAATTATTAAAATCATAATAACTAATTATAAATAAATCTAAAAACACGCTATATTAATATGAAAAAGTAATAATATGAAGGACAAAACCATGTAGCTTAAACTCGCACCACAAATGCATTATAACAAATCAATAAATACAAAATACATTATATAGTATAAATTATAATTAAATTCAACAAATTACATAAGTTAAAAGTTATATATTTCAATGCTCAAACAAGTACCATTATCAAATAGAAAATAGAAGTTGGAGTAATTGTAATAGATAAGAATAAATACAGAGTTTTTTTTTAATATTTTATCATGTAAGTTCAATTGTTAAAATAAAAATCTTATTAATCAAACTGAAAACTAGATATATGTTACAAGTTTTTAAAAAATAAAATCAATCAAATAATAGATAACTTTTGAATCATTTTTATAAGATTGTGATTTTTTAATATGTTTTATCATCATCTTGTCTCATAAATATTCATCTTTCTCCTAGTATTTCGGATGTATTAAAAAATTTATTTAAAACCATTATAGATGTGATTGTAAAATCGTACAAACAAATTATTTGGGATTTACCAAAATGCCGTGAATATAATTACATAAATTATACCTCTAAATTATGTTATAACACAACATAATTACATCTCATATTTCAATATCATATGACTGACTTACTTATTCTTCACATATTAAGATCCTATGAATCATAAGGACAATAAAATTATTAGTATAGATTCGCATACAATATGACAAGTAAATCAATTTTCAGTGTAAAATTTTGAAGAATATGTGTGCAGTACATTTTGGGGATGCAGGG